CACCTGGGGAGATCCCTGGGTTTTGAGAGGGCAGTTCTGGGGCTGGATGCTCAGGAAAAGATGCCAGTTAAATTAAGTCTTGGTTGGAGATCATCAGCTGGATTGGGTGAATGCTTTCTACAAGAAGAATTTGGGGTATTTTGGGGCTTTTTTTTGGTTCATTCTAAAAGTCAACTTCAAGCTGGAAGTGTTTAAGGACATCGCGTATCTTATAAGCAAAATATGAGACACACAGAATCACATCTTGTTGAGCTACGACCTGAAGCTGAGTTCAGGTATTAAGTCCCTTCTCTGGGCCCTAGATGTGCTTGTTGTGTTTTCTCAAGCTGTTTAATTATTTCTGGATGTGTTGAAGTGCTGTGTATCTATGAGGCTAACTTCAGGAGCTTCATTCAGGCTTTTCTTAGGGAATTTGTTACTTCATTCCCCCTAAGCCATAGTGCAGTGCTTTGTCTTTAATCCCAGCACAATAAATTGCTAATGGTGTGAAATACAACCAGAACCCAGATTGGTCCCTGAACCTGCTTGAAGGCAGAGAGTAATGAGCATTCATGTGTCCATCCAGTTACACAGAATTCATTAGAAGGGCTTATTTTAGAAGGGGGAAGGAAGTAGTAAAAAAAAAATCCACTTCTCACCAAAACAACTCTCTTAAAAATGAGTTTTGGGATGTTGCTGCTTTTTCAAGAGTAGTTTCATATCCAAGCATGAAAAGTGCAATGTGTGAGGATGCTCAGAGGGGCTTGGGATCTTCCTCCCCTCCCTCATGGATTTGGGAGTGCTTTCCCTGGAAGAGCTTTTTGGGGGAGGGGAAATGCTCTTCCTTACCTGACTATTGTTCAAGTTCCTTTGCCCAGTTCTGTGCCAAGAACAACCAGCAGCACAAGCAGCAGAGAATTTCCTCTCCAAAATCACCAAGCAGTTGTGTTTGGATAGCAGCACTGAGCTGAGTAGCAGCTGTGGGCTGGGTTTAGGGCTTCAGACTTTCCCATTTGTACACCTCCTGGGCTCTGTTCCTTTGGCATCCACGGCTGTGTGTGTGCAGGAGCACTGAGCCTCCTGGTGCCTCACACGCAGCAGCACCCATTGCCTTGCCTGGCATCTCTTTCACTTCCTCAAGGGAAGGATGTAGAAGAGAGGCAGATGGCTTTCTGTAGGCTAGATGTGACCCACATCCTGTAACTGCACCATATGCAGACAGATGCATAGAAAGTCTGGCTGCGTTCATTATTCCTTGTTGCAAAACAGTTTCCTGCGTTGCTTAAAAGCTCATTCTAAAATCCTTCAGCATATTTGGGCTGAATTACAAGTTCCTACGGGTTAACTGCAGGGCACTGATTAAAGCTTCTCAGTGAATGTATGTTCTCTGTGAAATGAATTAGCAGCTCTGTGAACTCCTACATCTCAGTGTTCCCAACAGCATGGCTTTGACAGTGAATATATAGCTGCTTGGTTGTTGGAATAAAGCGTGGGTTTTTATAGTAGGTGATTTCAAGCAGGAATATAAAGAATTGGTGCATTAAAATGTCAGCTGTAAGCAATGAAATATCATACAGTGTATTTGTAAATCAGTATATCACCTATTTGCAGATCAGTATATCACCTATTTTTGACTAAGGGAGACTCTTCATTAGTGGAAGCAGTTTGCTAGCAGCTGTGGTCCTGTCCATGCTTTCCCTTCAATCTCATTTGCCCAGGGAATGCACTGTGTTGTACAGGGCAGATGAGCCACGTCGTTCAGATCGTTTGGATTGTGGAGGGCTGTTATCAGCAGGTAACTCCCAGCCCAACAGCATCTGCTGCCTTTCCTTTGCAGGGAATGCATTTTGTGTTGGTGTAGTGGGTGAAAGTGCTGAGGAACACTTCTTTGAGGCTGGCACTGCCTGCTGCTCACCGTGTGCTCTCTCTTTGCAGACCGCCGTTGATGTTTTTAAGAGGATAATTTTGGAGGCAGAAAAAATTGATGGGGCAGCTTCACAAGGGAAGTCTTCATGCTCAGTAATGTAATTCCACTGCAAAGCCTGAAAACAATGGGAATACATTCTACCTGAAGAAGCAAAACTGCCCTTTATCTTCAAGGATAAACTATGCTTCTTTTTTTTTTTTTTTTTAATTTTTTAATTTTGTGTTTTTTTTCTTCTGTTAACCTGAGAGATACACAGTTGGTTTGGAGCCTTTCCCTTCAGATTATGTTAAACTCTGACTCCTGTGCAAATGGCTTCACTTCCATTTTCAAATTTTAAGCAATCATATTTTCAATTTATATATTGTATTTCTTAATATTATGACCAAGAATTTTACTGGCATTAATTTTTCAGTGTAGTTTGTTGGTTAGAATAATCATCAAAATGATGCATATTGTTACACTACTATTAACTAGGCTTGGATATCAGTGTTTCTTTGTGTTAAATGTATACTTGTAAATAAAATAGCTGCAAACCTTCATGTTCTCCTTATAACTTTTTGGTGGTTGCCCCATGTCAGCTTCTGTGTGGGATGTTCAGCTCAAGCGTTGTGTGGCAGCTGCCCTGATCCCACCAGAGGTTCCCAAGAGCTGTGCTAAGTGATGCACAGCTTGTAAGGGAAATCAGGAAAGAAACAGCGAGTTCTCTTGGTTGGCTGAGATCCCACCTGTGTCACTGTGCCCCGTGCAGGTGCTGCAGGCACTGATCCACAAGGACCAGCTGGGCCTTAGGAGGAGCATGCGATGGCTTAGGAGGAGATCCCAACCACTTGTACTGCTGGAATTCCAAGGTGCCTGCATAGCTCAGCTGGATTTTGTGCTGGTTATAGAAAGGAGATGCAAGGGACACCTTTGTAAGGGTGTCAGGGTAAGGTGTGGAAGGAGCAGCTGGATTTTGTCAAACAGCACTGCTTGTTCCTCTGTGTGACCATGAGGCTGCAGGCTGAAGGGCACACATCTGTTCCAAGGAACAGGCTGGCATGCAGCTGTGCACGCTTGGGTTGGAATGGATTTAGCCAAGTTAAATTTGCTAAGAAAACAAAACTGTTGTTTAAAATAAATTGCACGTCGGACAAATAGATGTGAGTTGCTTATCATGCATTTCTATACTCATGCATCCAGCTAACGTGGGCTCCCAGCACCTGGCCTTTCACCAAGGCCTGTTCCCAGTGCTGTCTTGGGCAGCTTCTTCAGTCTGGAAGCAAACTACTTGAACTTGGTATCTGGGAGGAAAAAAGTGCAGTTGACCTATTTCGTGTAGAAGGTGCTGATTTAGGGAAAGGTTTATTAAATGAAGTGTTTTCTCATACATTTGAGTCCATTGAAAAGTTTTAATTCTTGGCAGAAGTAAAATGGAAGGGATACTTGCAGTGGTTCTGCAACCAGACGTAGCTTTTGCTTTTCAGTCTAAACAATGCAGATGTGTCAAGTCTCATCTCTTTGTGTTGTCCTCAGACTGTTAATTGTCTGAACAATTAATATTTGTAGAAAAACTTTACTTTCATGATTCAGAATCAGCATCAGTGGAGCCCAGGGACAGAATGTGTGTGGAAGGCACCTTCCAGCAGTGAGGATCCTGGATAGCCTCGCTCCTTTCTGCTTACTGAGGGATTCCATGCGTTTGGCTCTTCAACATGAGAGCCCTAAAGGGGGTTGGTGCTCTTGGAAGCCCAGTGTTATGTATATAGAAGCAAGAACTCTGTCTAGCTTGCCTGGAATTCAGGAAGCATTGTGTGGCAACTGCCCTGATCCCACCAGGGGTTCCCAAGAGCTGTGCTAAGTGATGCACAGCTTGTAAGGGAAATCAGGAAGGAAATGGCAAGTCTTCTGGGTTGGCTGAGATCCCACCAGTGTCACTGTGCCACATGCAGGTGCTGCAGGCACTGATCCACGAGGACCTGCTGGGTTCATGCTGCTAATTAATGCCACTGGGCTGCGGCCTTGAAAGGAGAAATCAACAGGGTCTAATTAGTCCTTATGCAATCAGCACCGCTCATCCTCTGAACATGCTGCTAACGCTGGGTAAACCTCACAACCTCTTCTAATGAGGTCAGCATCTCTCTCTCTCTCACAGCTGGGGAGAGGCAGAGACCCTTGCAGAGGTGTCTTCAATCCATGAGAATGGGGAAGAGACAACTGAGCATCAGCAACACTGACATTGCTGCCCAGAGAGCTGTGGGTGCCCCATCCCTGGAGGTGCTCAGGTCTGGGTTGGATGGGGCCCTGGGCAGCCTGAGCTGGTGATGGGCAGGCAGCCCATGGTAACTGGGTGGGCTTTGAGGTAGCCATGCTGCCAGTCTGCCTTCTTATTGCTGTCTCTTCCAAATAATGATGTTAAAAAGAAATCCTTCCAAAAGAAGCAGCAAACGTGCACCACTAATCATCCAAAACCCTGCCAAGCAAATCTATTGTTTCACTGCCTGTCCTCAGTCAAAACTCTGTGCTCAGCAGCCCTGGGCCCCATTCTGCCAACTAAGCACAGCTTTGCAAAGCCCCAGCTCCCACTGCTTTGTCCCAAAAGCCCCGTGGCAGCAGCCCCACTGCCCGGCCCATATATAGCGAGGCAGCCTCGCGTGCTGCGGGGTTGGGTCAGCTTCTGATTTACAGTCCTGGAGAGCAGCCATCAGGAAATGTCTCAGTACTCAGGAAAAGTAAGTATGGCCTCATGCTGGGATGGGCTGCAGTGGGGTGAGGGTTGGGTGATGTTCCACTCAAGTGCAGATTCAGTGCAGCGGGGATGGGGAGGGTGTGGGGATGGGCGTGCATTTGGGAGTAGGGCTTTGTGTTTGAATCTTCATGTTGGAAACCATAGAATGATTTGAGTTGGATGAGACTCTTAAAAGCCATCTGGTCAAACCCCCCTGCAGTGAACACAGACACCCACAGCTCCATCAGGTGTCGAGGGCCCCATCCAGCCTGACCTTGAATGTCTCCAAGGATGGGGCACTCACCGCCTCTCTCTGCAACCTGCGCCAATGCCTCACCAGAATGCTGGTAAGGGGATGGTTGCATGCTAGGAAAACCAAGCTGACCCCAAAATGAGGCACTGGTGAGAGGTTCCCATTGGCTTGCAACTGAGGTCCTCACCTCCATCCCCCTCTCCTCCCCACCCCAGATCACCTTCTACGAAGGGAAATGCTTCTCAGGCAGGAAGCTGGAGGTGTGCAGCACCTGCAGCAGCTTCCAGCAGCGAGGCTTCCCCCACCGTGTCAACTCCATCCGCGTGCAGAGCGGGGCCTGGGTCTGCTTTGATCACCCTGAGCTGCACGGGCAGCAGTTTGTGCTGGAGCACGGCGAGTACCCGCACTGGCAGCGCTGGAACGGCCGCGGCGACCGCATGGGCTCCTGCAGACCTGTGGGCATGGTGAGCAGCTCTGATTGCCCGAGGGGGTGGAGATACGATTCCGGGTGTAAAACACAACGGCATTGATGGGAATGGGGTTATTGCAGTGGTTTTCAAAAGAGGCAGGGGATGCTCGTAGGGGAACGGGAGTGTGCATCCCAGGGGGTGTCAGGGTTGGACTGAGGTCTCTTCAGCTGCGTTGCAGCACAGAGATGGGCACACAGGGATCCTGGTGTTGATCCCTCTGCTATGGGATGAGCCCCGAGTGCTCAGCTTCTCATGCCTTCTCATTTCCCCAGGGGATATCAGCGAGTGCTTTGGGGGATATAATTGTCTGTGGGTTTTATTTTTGGTGTTGTTACTGACTCGACCCCGTTGTCCCCAGCACGGGCAGCACTACCGCATCCAGCTGTTTGAAGGGAGCTGCTTTGGAGGCCGCAGCATGGAGCTCACTGAGGACTGCTCCTGTCTGCAGGGCCGGGGCTGGGAGCAGCCCCACGTCAACGCCGTCAGGGTGTACGGTGATGGAGCGTGAGTACCCACTGTGTCCTACAGCTAACGGGGCCTGCGGGAGCCTACAAGCCTGGCCAAGGCTGTGGTTACACCAGGGATTTTGGTGCTTCTGATATTGAGTGTGGAACGAGAGCAGCTCTAGTAGGCTGTGATTTCAGGAGGGTAGCAGCTAAGCACAAGCTACATGAATTTGGAGATGCATTCAAGGGGCATGCAACCCAACACTCGGCCCATCCCCTCCCTTTTTCTCTTTTCACATTTCCTTGTGTTTTTCCAAACACCTCTTTAAAACCCACATGAAACCCGCTGGGCACTGCAGTCAGGGCTTTTGCTTTCTAAGTGGCTTCCCCAGGGCTTCCTGCAACACCAGAAACCTCCTCCTTGGACAGCAAACGTGAGGCAGCAACACCTTGCCTTCACATTACATTGTTTTTCTTAAAGACAACAGAAGCTGTTGTGGTGTGGAGGTGGGATGCTGGGATCCCCCTGTGGGACTTTGGTGCCTTGTGAAGCTGCTTTGTGGATGTATTGCCCCATCCTTCTGCCCCACGGAATTCTCAAGCACTTCTGCAGGGCAGCAGCTCTGCCTTATTTCAGCTGTTGGGTGGCAAAGTGCCCCAGTGCCATTATATTTCACCTGTCCTAGGCTGGATTTGCACATCTCATCTGATGCTGGGCATTGCAGAACAGGGAGAACTGTGCTGCACTCCAAGACCGCAACATCCTGACACAGGGTGTACTGCAGAGCTTTTTCTGATTCAACAGAAGACCTTTCCATTTCATAAAAAGAAAAAAAGAAAAATAGGCTTAGAATCAAAGAATCACAGAATCATTACGGCTGGAAAAGACCACTGAGATCACTGAGTCCAACTCCAACCTACCATGCCCGATAACCACGTCCCTCAGTGCCACAATTCCATGGTTCTGGAACACCAGATGTCTTCATTGCCCACTCATGGATACACAAAGTTGGTTTGTTACCACCAAGGAGCTCTTGAGAGAAGATCAGCCAGAGCCCAGCAAGGGTCCTGCATCATGGGGAGGACCAGTGCCATAAAGCCAAGAGCCCACGAGAGCTTTGGGACCAATGATTCACCACACGTGTCCCTGTAGCAGAAACTGGAGTCGGAGAAATTGGGATGCTGCCCAGAAACTTTCAAGCACTTGAATTTTTCAGATTGATTTCCCCCTCCTTCCAATGAAGGCCACAAAGCTTTCTTTCCCTCACATGTGAGTGTAGACGTTTGCCTGCTTATGTTCACATGATGTGACTTTTCAAAGGCTTTCTATGCCTTTGGCATTGCATGCCATAGGGCTTTTCTTTTGGGATTGAGGACAAGCAGACAGAAATGGTGCTGATGAAGCCGTGGAAGCAGTCCTCAAATGGAAGTGCTGTTGTGGGGCAGTTCTGAGGTGTCTCTGTCCCTTTAGCTGCACCTGCTCAATGGGAAGTGTCTTTGGCCATCCAGCTTTCCCCAGGATCTGTCACCAGATGAAACAACACAGCACATCCCACCATGATGATGGCCCTTCCACAGCAGAGGGGCTGGTGCTGTCCTTGTTCATTGCAGGGGAGTTGAAGCAGATGACCTTGAAAGATCCCTTCCAACTCAATGATTCTGCAATGCTATGAAATAAAGGAAGGGCTAAGTAAGCACACAAGTCCTCACTCATCACTTTGTGTGGCCAATATGCCTCAGTCCCATCTTTCTGGTGTTCTGCTCCCTTTTTTTTCACAGCCTTCCCCTAAATGGAGAAACAAATGATCCTGGTGGGCCCCTTCCAACTTGGCCTATGATTCTGTTCCATACACAGAGAAATAAGTTGATGGGATGGAGTGGAAAAGGAAGAAATCCATGTGTGCATTATGCAGAAGGCTGGGGTGTGTTCAGAGGAGGATAATGATGTTATACATCGCTCTTAATTAACGTGAAGAGCACAGCAACCTCTCCAAGAGTGCACATCAGGATACACGACGAGGGCACAGAGATCTGGGGCACCCTGCCCTACAGCCGTGTGAGCAGCGCCGCAGAGCGAGCCTGGAGGAAAGCCTGTGCATGGCTTTGTCATCTCCTTTTGGATAGAAACTGGCTGCAAAAAGTACTAGAGAACGAGCTTGTTCATTTGTAGGAAACACCCCAGAGCCAGCTGTTTGGCTGAGCTCTCTTTGGCAATGCTGCATGCTTGCAGACCGCAGCTGTGCCAGCAACGCAGTGGGAGCAGGCAGGCAGCCGGTGCTGTGCAGACAGATGGAGCTGAGACCCACCTGGAGGCATCCCAATAGTGCACATCAACCCAAACACACCCAGCAGTCCTTGGGGTGGCTCAGCTGAATGCTCCCAGCTTTTGTATTGTAGTGCTCACGGGTGGCTGGCTTTACAAACGAATGTTTTTCCTACAGACGCAGCTTTTTGCTCTGGGTCAGGCTGCTCTGAACTCGCCAGCTGTTGGCTGACCCTGCAGCAGTCACTGCCCCGTGCTGTGCTTGAAGGAATTCCTCCCACAAGCAGTAGGTCCTAACCAAATTGTCACTGCTGGATGTCTGGTGAGAGATGGGCCACAAAACCCAACTGATTTGGGATAATTTGGGAGATTGAAGTCGTGCTCTGCTGTCATTGCTGAGCCCATACGTGGGGGAAGTAGCGGTGACCTCTGATTTGGGGAGAGAAGAACGAGGCAGAGATGAAAAGTTCAGCAATGAAAGTCGAATGTAAAAGTGACAGAGCAATGGCAAAGCCTGGTTAACAAGCATGGGAGATGTGAACAGAGGACAGGGCTGGTGGTTGTTGCTGCATTGAGACCATGGCACAATGTGTCTTAAGGGGCTGAAGAGAGAGAAGAGCAACAACATGGGTGCTGAGATAAGAGATAAGGGGAATGAAACAGAACCCCAATCTGTCCCTGCTAGGAAATATCAGAAAGGTTGTTGAGAATTGCTGGAAAAAAGAGGATGTATTAAGTACAGATAAAGGTGTGGTTCCCCTCATGGCTAAAGACTCACTTCTAGGAGGTCAAATGCATTTCATGTGTTGCAGTGAGGACATTTCTGCTTTTAGTCCAGAATGGGGCTGAGGGGACTCACATCCCTCTGTAGCACTAGCAAATCATAGAATCACAGTACCACAGCATCATAGGGGCTGGAAGGGACCTCTGGAGATCATCCTATCCAATTCCTCACTAAAGCAGGTTTCCTACAGTAGGTTACACAGGAAAGCATCCAGGCAGGTCTTGAATATCTCCAAAGATGGAGACTCCACAGCTTTCCTGGGCAATCTGTTCCAGTGCTCTGTCACCAGTGCTGTGAATTTATTTCTGTTGTGCATTGTGACGATCAGCAAAGTCACGTCCCACCATAAACACACCATCCTTACAGCAACATGAAGGGGAAAGCCTCTGGTCTGGGCTTTGGGGCTGACATCACCCAACCGTGGGGACACCATTAATCTTTTCTTCTTGCTCAGGTGGGTGCTCTACGAGGAGCCCAACTATCGAGGCCGCATGTATGTGGTGGAGCGGGGCGAGTTCAGCAACTTCCGAGCATGGCAGGGCTTCAGTGCAAACGTCCAGTCTGTCCGGAGGGTCATCAACTACTTCTAGCTGAGAACACCTCATCGGAGCTGGGCTGCTGGGCTGCTGGGCTGCTGGGCTGCTGGGCTGCTGGGCTGCTGGGTTGGGCATCACCTCACTGACCCGTGGAATAAACTGTTCAACATCAAATTTTGGCTCTAAGTAAATTTGTTTCCATCAATTGCATGAGTTCAAGAGGGAATGGATATGCTCAGTGTTTCTAAGGTTATATGCTGTGATTTTACTTTTCTATGGTGTGACGATTCATGGGGTGTGATGGGACACGTCTTCTCTTGTAGCTGATAGTGAAAAGAAGACCTGGGAAAGCTCCCAAAAACCATCCCAGTCTGAGATGGGCATTAGGAAGAAATTCTTCTCGTTGCAGGAAGGGATGCACTGGCACTGCTGCCCAGAGTGCTGTAGGTGCCCCATCCCTGGAGGTGCTCAGGGCTGGGTTGGCTGGAGCCCTGGGAAGCCTGAACTGGTGGGGGGCAGCCAGGCCATGGCAGGGGGATGGAATTGGATGACCTTTAAAGTCCCTTCCAACCAAACCATGCTGTGATTCTACGGTGATCTCTGACTTAAAAGCCCTTTGGCTGACTTTGACTGAAGCACTGTGGGCTGTGATGGCCCTGGGTGGCTCCTGGTGATACGTGGTCTGCTGGAGTTGTAACAATATTTAAGCATCCTTAATGGATTGCAAGGCATTTCTGGGTCAGGAAAGAAGGCAGGGAAATTATTCATTCATTGAGTGGGATGCACAAATGTACAATTCATGCATCAACTCTTGCGTAGTTCATTTTCTTTTAATTAAATGCAGCTTATGAAAGATTTTAGGAGTTCTTCCAGGATTAGCATTGCTTTTGCTTCATGAAGACTCTAATCTGCTCCTGAATTCAATGCACTCTATTAAAAGTTAATATCCAGCCACATGCATTGCTCTCTGCTGTGACCTTCTGGACAGTAATCTGTTAAAAATAAGCACAAATGTAGTCCCAAAGAAAGGCAGGCATTGAGCTGTGAGTGGCTTTAAAGGAGGAGTTTCATTCATTTAAAGCACATTCAATGTCACAGTGCAGTATGAAGGATGAAGAAACAAAGGGCTTAAAATAAACCCTAACTGGAATCCCAGATGGAGGGGAAGGGACGGGAAGGGAAGGGAAGGGAAGGGAAGGGAAGGGAAGGGAAGGGAAGGGAAGGGAAGGGAAGGGAAGGGAAGGGAGTCCCATCTCTTCATTTCCTTGATCTGAGCCTAAATGGGTCAGAACTCCTAAATGGAGTAGAAAATGACAAAAATGACAGCTTGGTGGGAAATGAATGTGAGATGGTGCAGCAGAGATCTGCACTGCACCACGTTATGGCTGAATGAGCTCTGCTCTATGTACCAAATTGGAAACTATTCTGCAAAATGCTGGAGATAAAACAAAGATTCAAAAAGTTATTGTAGTTATATGTAATTATTAATTACAGGAGAGAGAACTAAATGAAATCAGCTCCATCTGGAAAGCCAGGAAAGCCCTAATAATCAGCATTATGGGGCTTGGCCAGGCTGCTGCAGTGTAATATTCAGAATAACTTTGAATTACCTCTGGCCCCAAAGCAAATAGCTCCTGCCAGAATGGCTGCATACACAAATGTCCTTTCTCTCCAGCTGGATAATATGGGAATTTGATGGAATATGTCTTGCAAATGAATCCTTGGAAAACATCTGCACAGCTACAGTACTTTTGCTGTGCTCCATTACCCAGTACACACAGAAACCCCTCCTGTGCTTTTTCTTTCTTTCTCCAGAGCAGCCCATCTGGACCAGGTAACAGTGAATTCACTCCTCCATGCCTGCTGGAGCTGTTTTATTGGGCCTTTGAGTGGGGTCTTTGAGCTGCCCGTCCAACTCCAATGGAAGAATTATAGAATCATTAAGGTCAGAAAAGACCTCAGATCACCAGGTCCAACCCCAACCCATCCCACCATGTCCACTGGCCACGTCCCCAGGTGCCACATCTCCACAGTTCTGGAACACCCCCATGGATGGTAACAAATGAGCTGTGAAGTCCTTGAATCAGAGGACATCCATCTGCCTGATGTGCTCAGCATCCTCAGCATCACAAATGGCACCTTGCCTTGATTTTTCATTTTAAACCATCCAGTCTATTGGAGAGGTTAAATCAAGTGATTCCTATCCAGTGATAGGGACTCACGTAGGGTTTGTTGTCTGATGGCCTCCTGTTCCAAAAGTAACCACACAATCAACAAAGGAGGTGCAATAACAAACATATGACATGTTTTGAACTGTTCTCATACTTACTGGTGACAATGAAGGAAATCAAAGGTGCTTGCATGGAAGAAAGTGGGAAAGGACAGAATTGTTTTAATTTTCCATGGAGCAACAGAAACGCTGAGGAGCAAACGGATACGTGGTGCTTTCTGGGGACACCTGACCATCTTTCTGTGGTTTTTATAACCCCGTTTGTAATCAAATCAGGCTGTCCCAGCTTCAGCACGGAGGAACGTAGCAGTGTTTGCAGTCAAATTGTGCAGGAAGCAAACGCAAAATCATACTGTAATTGTTAATGTAAATTCCTTCTCTCCATATGATGGTCTCCAGTGGGTTGCAGTAAGCCTGCACTTTGTGTAGGCACTCACACCTGTGCTCACACAGTCCAAAATGCACTGAGAGCTTCCTCCCAGGCACAAGGAAGAGCTTTATGCACTCCTGCTAGGGGAGCGCAGGGGCTGGCTTAGTGGAGGATCAGCCTCTGCTGTTTCATGGGAATACTGCATTTTTTTTTTCCATGTTGTTTAACTCCTTGCAGCTGCTGTGCAATGCTGCTAGTCGTTTTGTTTAGCCTGATGACAGGCACTGAGATAACTGCTTTCTCATGTGAGCAGCTCTTAGTGCTCACCAGTGTTGCTCGTGGGCTGGGATGGGGCATGAGAGCTGCACAGCTCCTTCCCCACAAGCCGACCCAGGCAAGGCAGTCACCTGTGGTCAGCACAGGTTTGTTCATGTCTGGGGAGAGGTGCTCCCAAGCTTTGATGCTGCTGCCCAATGATCAGGGTGTTGGGAAGGCTGGTGAATGATCCTGACTCATAGATGGGCAAGACTCGGTGGTTTCAGCTGGCTGTCCATCTCTTGCTTTGTTCTGGTGAAAAGCAACAGCTTAGAGAGAGCAGCTGGTGGAACCACCACCAAAACAAGTCTTTTCACAAGAACCAGTGCTACGTGCCATATGTGCCATAAAGTGCTAGCACACAGCTGAGCCCTTCTGACAGCATAGCAAGCCTAATGCCCAAGGAGGCTGTGGATGCCCCATCCCTGGAGGCATTCAAGGCCAGGCTGAATGTGGCTTTGAGCAGCCTGGTCTGGTGGTTGGCGACCCTGCACATAGCAGGGGTGTTGAAACTAGATCATCATTGTGGTCCTTTTCAACCCAGGCCATTCTGTGATTCTATGATTCTATGATACGATTCGGTAGGCTTAGCTCTGCTTTGCAGGGTAGGAGCTCATGAGTCCCATTCGTAAATCACGCTCAAGCTTTATGGTGGGAAAGCACCGTGTGGTCCGGTCTGCACGCAGGGCTGACCTGCTCAACTCTGTGAGAGCAACAGCTGTTCCAGCAACGTAAGTGGGAACCAAAACTGCTGAGATTTGCAGAGCTTTGTGCGGTTGTCATTGGTTTTCTTGGCTGGTAATGCGAGCAGAGAATAATAACACTTGAGTCATCTGAAGCTACAATAGTAATAATAATAATAACAGGATTCCAAAGGTTTTATTTTGTGTGTATCCTGCTATTATTGACTTGCCCTTTGAAATTCTTTTTCTGGGAATAATAGAGCTTCTTTTTTGGAACTGGGGGCTGGGGTCAGCTTCATTTATCTTCCACCTATTTAAAAGAGAGAGAGGAAATAAAAGCAGGCAAACACCATTCCGACTTCTGGAGTTTATCATTTCAGTTCGGATCTTCTTACAGAGCTGACAATCTGCATTTCAAAGGCTTCATACCTCTTTCTCTATTGTTTATTAGTAAGTGATACATAACAGTCAGCTCTTTTGACAACAAAGGATCGCACTCCCCATCAGAAATAGACTTCCACGATGCTGGAAAACCTTCTGCCTGCATGGAATGATTCTTCTTTTCAGCTGCACTCAGACAACTCAGGTTTGGAAACAAAACATTCTGGTAGGAATCCAAAACCTCTGTAACAGACCCCCAGGCCTGGGATTTGTCTAATAGTTTGCTATTAAAGAGCTCTTTGGCTGGAATGAAGTACCAGACAGAGTTTTCCTTGTTCAGCTCTTGGACTATTATTTTCCCCTTTTTTCTTTTTTTTTTTCTTTTAAATTGGCATTTGAACCTTTAAGACAAACTTGCTGTCAAGATGATGGAAGATCAAGGGGAGGGCACAGGTTACCAGATTCCTGAAACCTGACTTCTGCTGGGTGTAGGGATGGTGGGGAAGCTCTCCTTTCCCAGTCTCAAAGCTGCGATCACCCAAAGCTGAAGGCCAGCAGTGCCAATGAACATGAATTAGGGCTGCCTTGGAGCTGTGTGCTGCTCCCGGAAAGACACGGGCTGGCATAGGGTTCTGGTGCAGAGCAGCTCATCAAGCAAGCCAAGTATCTCAGCTGAGTTTGCTTTGCTCAGCTGCACTGATCTACTGCTGCCAAATAGCTGGCCTGCACTCTGTATCTGTACGTATATGGTTAAAGATCATTCTTCACATTTCCATTCCTGTGCAAGAGCTCCAAGGCTGCATAGCTCTGCAGTGCCACTGAAAAGTAGTTATTGTTTCTTTTATTTCAGTGGTTTGGTTGTGAAATCTATGCTTGAGGAAGGGGGGGAGGAAAGTCCTGAAGCAGCCAAACAAGGTAACCATGTTATGCCAACCAGCATCTCTTCCATCTTCATCCTGTCCTCCTGCCACTCCTATGCCACTGCAAGTCCCTGGGAAACCAGCTCCCTGCTGCAAACATCCACTTACACCCATGCAGAGTTCGGATTTGATGTAAAAGCTACATCAGATTGAAAGTTGAAAGTGAATCAAGGACAGTGGTTTGTTCAGTTTTTTCTTTCCTTCACCACCATGGAAATCCAGAGAATGAGCACCTCCCCCATTAGCAAAAGGTCATGGCCATCATAGCCAAATTTAGAGAAGAGAGAAGCAGGGTATGTTCCCTTAGGTTAATACCCTTAGCTAATGTAACTGGCTTGGTTTATCCAAGGTAGAACTGGGCTCTCACTCTTCAGCTTTCTTGTCGTACATCCAGGACTAACAGGGATCCGAAGGGTTAACAGCACAACTGCTGGTCTCCTTTGTATTTATC